TACTAAGAAAAATATCTGATGATTTCAGATTATATTTATAAAAATATTCCTAAATCTGAATGGCCTAGATTGTCCCCTTATAAATTATTTTATATAAAGGAAATAGTCTATCAATTCTTTCGTGTTTCATTTTTCTTATATCAGATTCACTCTAATAACTTATTTATCATTAAATGAACCATGAATCTACAACAACAAATTAATGAAATATTAGGAAAGAATGTTAAATGGAGATACTGGGCAAGCATAAATGTGTCTAAAGTCACAAGTCTTTAGGTAAGGTCCTAAGTGTTACATTATCGACAATCTTGTAAATTCAAACAAGATAGAGAAATCAACAAAATGATCACACTAAGGAAACATTCCTACTAAAGTATATTCCATGAGGGTAGAAGTTTCTGTTTGTTTTGCCAATATATCCCCATGGCTAGAACAGTGTCTGGCAGATATAGAGAGTGATCAAAATGCACATATTGATGAACCACCTGTGAGACACCCCATTTTACTTTGTAGTCAAATGCAAATAGGAAAAAAAAGGAACAAGAGAAAAAAGAGAATCAGTGTGGATAGAAGTACAAAATATGCAATACTACATTTAGGAATTTAGAGAATTTACAATTTTTTGATCATCTCTTCTTCCAGGACATTTTATCTTTATTCTGTTCCTCTCACCCATTCTTATTCAAAGTAAAAATCAGAATCTATTTTCTTCTTTTTCTGGGAAATATATGTTAATTAGCAGACAGGGTGCTGACAGAAACAGAATTTGCCTTTTATTACTTTCCTTCCAAGTCTGATACTGGTCTGTTTTAAATATTTGAAGTAAAAGAAATTTAAAAAATAATTGTTGTCAGTCTTGCTTCTTTAGAAGGCAGTTTTCTAGAAAAGTAAGGTTTGTGTATTTGGAAAAGCTTTATATGGCACCTACTGAAGACACTTACTGACGATTAAAAATAAAACAAAATGAAACAATCAATTTGGATCAAGGAAAATATATAATTCCGAAAGAATTAACAAGTGAATATGTACAAAGGCTATAAATGTCAACAGCGCTAATAGCATTTAACGGCATTTCAACAGCAGCTAACGGCATTTCATAGCAGATATTTTTCCTGTGTTCTTCACTGATGTAACACCAATACCTAAACCAGTGCCTGATACATAGTAGGCAATCAATAACGATATCTTGATTGCATTAATATACTTCCAAGATGTATGAATATCACACTTAAAAATTCTATTTTCAAAAATTTTAGACACAAGATCGAACAATAAGCTCATTAAACTTAATTCTAAGTATGGGCAGTTAGTCACATAGACAACATACCTTAGCCTAAGACAATTTTTACATACTTTTCGGTCTTTGTACTCAGATAAACTAATGGAGTATTTTTCTTGTAAACAGTAAAAGAGTAGACCTATTATTCACCATGAAAGCCACATGCCTACAAATTCAACATTTTAAGACTTAAAAATACAATAGAAGTGGTAGTATAATTTCTTTTTTTAAGATCGATTTCTTTCATTTTGATGAAGTGTTGAGCTCAAACAAGGTCTTCAAATATTCCATTAATTTACTTGTTCATTTAACTTAAAAAGTGAAAAACCTATGTAATTAGCAGACAGTCCCCTCAACCTGATCTAGATCAAGGTCATTGAATCAAGCCTATCATCTAGCAACAAACAAACCAAAACAAAGCCTTTTATGAAAATCCACAAACCTCTAATCCACAGCATATACACATTTCATATTCAAACTGAATGAATTATGTTAAACAAGTCTCAAAGGAAGCCATAGCGCCTGAGATTAAGAGAAAAACAAACCCTATTTTAGAAATGATACATATGTAGAAAAGCCCACTTTCATAATCATAGGTCCAAAATGAAGAAATGAAATCCTCATGCTCACCTGGCTAATGGGTTCTTTCGTGGGAGGCTTTCCTCTTCTGGCCGTGCTAGTAGCCAGGGTTGTGGTGGTCTCCATAATTGATGTGGACATCTCTGACTGCATGGCAGTGGCTGTCGACTCAGTTGTCATAGAGGAAGGCACTTCACCAACCAGTCTCACATTTCCCACTATGGCGATGTTGGCATCGTTTTCGGCTGCCATATTCAGAACTTTCAAGCCATTGTAGTAAAGCCCAGAGAGCTGGCCCTGGAAAGGCTGGCCCTGCTCTTTCCCGCCAATTATTATGGTTGCTTGGCTATTGAAGATTGTGAGCTGACGCCCTGTAAAAATAATATTACATACATGCAAAAATGTTGATTGTGAACTCTACATCTACAAAGGATGATACAACAGATCTTTCATGGGGTGGATAATGAGAGCAATAAACTATAAGAGAGGCATTTGACTCATAATTCATTGCTTATAAATGAGGTGTCCATGAAATGCATAATTGTTGGCAAATACTAGTAAACTCTTAACTTATTGTAAATGTAGTGCTTTTGCTAAAAGACCAATCAAAGATATATATTACAAGTAAATTTTTAGTGGATCCCCTTTCCCTTTTACCTCAAGATCTTATACGGTTGGTCTCCTAAGTCTAAATTGTTAAATTAAAGAAATGTGAGATAACTAACATTTCAAGTATTTGTCCTTCTGAAATTACCACTGAAAGAAACTAGTATATAGCAGCTGAAATGTAATTTTAAATTTTATGATAAAAATTTCATAATTCACATGTCTGCATGTATCTATATGCTATTCTTTAGTAATATTTATTTTTTGAATGCGATAGTCCATTGTTATTTGAATTATTCTATTTTTCCGGCAATCACACTGAAAAGAAATGCATGGTTTACACTGAGCATGTCAGAGACAAAAAAATTCCAAAAATATGTTTCTGATTGGCTTTCAGCAAGTCTATCAAAACAAAACAAAACGAAAAAAAAAATAGCTTCAGATGTAAAAAGCGGCTTCAGGAATGGTACACAAACCAATGGAGAAATTATGGCACATTTCCATCAAACAGCAATCCTTAGCAACAGTACCATTATTATCAAATTGAGTATCCAGTTTTAGCAGATTGCTCTCTGCTCATAAAAAGCATGCACACAACTTTAAGTTCAGTTTTAATTAGGGCTTGTTCCCAAATGCTCTTAGAAGGTTGCAAACGTTAAAGGGACTTCATTTTGACTGGCAATCCATATTGCCCGCTATTTAAGATTCCTAGAGTTTAAACAAAGAGTTTTTTTTTTTTTTTTCAGGACCATGATAAAGATAGCAGAACTACATATATTTTAGTTAATAATTTAGAGGCTGGAACATGTAATATAATCTATGAATGATTTATCATTTTGGGTTAATGCTTGCTGTGAGTACCTTCATAGATTGAGTTAGTGGATTATATTTAACAGTCCCTTTAACCTTAAGTTAACTGGGTAAGATTATTAAACAGCTGGTACGTCTAAAAATGTATAGAAATTATTATACAAGGTATGCAAATATTACTATCTATATTTTACTGTTTTAAATTTGTTTTTAATTTAGTTTTACGGAAAATTTATTTTTTATGTTTATTAGTGTTACAATGAAGTACTACTTGGTTATGTTCAAATTATTTTTTTATTTGAAGTTTTAATCAATGTTTTTTACCTTTGTCGAGTAGCCATTCATCAACTACTCGACCAAGTCGATATGGAATTCGCTGTCTAGCAATCGCCAGGCGCTCGTTATCATTGTTTCCTTTAAAGTTTAAAGAGACATTTCATTGGTTAAAATCTGTAAGGTCAAAGGTTAAAAGTTAATACTTAAAGCTTGAGCTATACAGTTGCCACATGATTTTTTGAAATTTGGAATTTTAAAAAGTTCTACCTGGAACATTTCATGTTTCAGACTTATCATTCATTCATTTATTTTATTTTAGCAAACAAAATTATTCCTATGTTAATTGAAAATTAGAAATCTGCATTTGAGCTAGGTTATTAAACTTATGTTATAGACAGACCCAAACAACCAATTTAAACAGCATATAATAGCTTTACAAAAAATGACCATTGACCTCAGGGTTTTGTCTTTTTGATGTTTCTTATTAACTAGTTAAACATGTTCAGGTGAAACAGGTTTAAGTTTTCAAAATACATTCAACCTCTTATTCCAGATTAGTAATTTATGAACACCAGACTTAATAACATCTTTGGCACACTGAAGCATCTAAAATAGGCCTAGCATACTTTATTTCCTAGTCAGAAAACAGAAATTCTTATTCGCCTCATTTAAGAAAACCACAAAGTCCAAATAGTTCTTGTATATTCCACATAAATTGGTTTATCAATCACTTGGACATCACAAAAGAATACATCTCGCATTATCCAAATATGTTATTATAGGAAAAGGCTTTGACAAAAGTGACTTTATTTGAGTGTCCTTGAATTCCATTTAAAGCTTAACATGTTGAAGCATATAATATTTGAAAAAGAATTGTATGTATGTTTTTATATACTCAAATATCTCCTTTTTATTAAGTTATTCTTAAAAAGGCATGATAGCTGAAGGAACAAATACAAGCCACAAACAGTGGCCCCTATTCATGGATCTAAACTGAGAGCCTTGCTTCTTTGAATAAAAAATTATCTGCTAGAAACATTGTTTACATTGACCTTGAATAATGCTTGCAAATATATGAGTGTTTTCTTGATCCATAAAGCACTTACAGAGAATCTTGGCTGCCATCTTAGTGCTCAGCTGTGTATGTTGCAAGAAGAGTTTTTCTATTTCATTTAAATTAAAGTGAAAATCTGGGCTAAGACATTTTGGCAATAACTCAGATGAGGACTTAGAGGTGAAAGAAACATTGAATGGTAGTACTACTTATGTAAAAAGACTGGAACATTTTGCTAGGGAAGATAATATACATTTTTTTATTTAGAATAATTTATAAATGTTGTCTTATGCTAGTCTTATAATACATTATACTTACCACAGTAAACCCACCATAATATTGGCCATATACTTTGGGAGAAATAGAAAAGAACTATCTATAGACCTTGTCAATTTATCAATGCATGTCTATATGAGTGAAAATAGTTCACACACTAATATTTAATTTAAAATGTGAAAATCAAAATAAAAAAATATAAAGTTTAATAGAAACATTGATGTGCATTTCTCTGTATATGTAATCATTAAAACACTGTAAAATAATATTTTATAATGTGGGAATATACTTTTAGTAAACTGATAATTTTATTAAAAGGATACAAATTATATAAAATTCCAACCCTATTTTCATTTTTTAAGAGTATACACAATTTGTGTTCTCTTTTGTGTGTTTCCATATATGTATATTTGAAAAACTATGCTAAATTTTAATATTGGTTACCTTAGGGCAGTGTGATTATTGATGAATTATATGTTTTTGGTTTATCTGTGATTTATATAATAAACATGTTTTACATGCATAATTTGAAAAGCAAACATAAAATATTTTCCCAAAACACACATCCTTTGCTCTAGGGACTTCTTTGTCATCCAACAATCATCCCAGTTTACACTGGTATAGCTTGTTTTCATGCTAGAGTGACCCACATTCTCTCAGACATTATCCAAATCTAAGTCGAAAATCCCTCTTGCCCAATTAATACTATAGTGTATTAATAGATCTCTGTTCATCCTCTCTGCAATCAATCCCACCCATTTTCCATATGTCAGCCAATATCTAATCTTACCACTTATCTAGTATATCCCCTCCCATTGCCTTTAGGATAAAATCTCAAACCCTTAATAAGGTCCATGATCGGTTCCCTTCCTAGCTCCCCAGTCCCCTTTAAAGGCTATCTTTGCCTTGCTCTCCAATTTTTGGCCTTATGAGTCTTTTTTCAATTCTAAATCTCTTCTGTCTCCTCTCTGGGCTTTTGTACTTGTCGCTTCCTTTATTTGAAATACTCTCCCTTGCTCCTACCTCACTTCCATCTTTCTTTAGCCAATCATCACTCGTGAATGGAATGGTCTTGGCAGGAGCCTCCTGAGGAGCTGTTCGTGTTGTTCACATTACATTAGGACATTTGACTATATGCTCTTGTAGCTCCTCAAATCTGCCCTTTAGAAACAAGCATTGACCTTGTAATTACATATTCAATAAATAGTTTTCCTTTAAACTCTGAATTTCCATGAGGTCAAGTACTATGTGTAGTGTTTATTGTTTCCTCAGTGTTTGCTTGCACAATACCTATCACATCACCTCCTGTGAAATCTCTGTACAATGAAGTAGTGAAAAAATATTTGGTTTTAGTTCTTACAGTTTTTGCGCCACCATTAACTCATCCCCACAGCCTAACAGCATTCAAATGAAAAGCAAATACTTATATGCAGAGAATAGACCACTTAAGCTAAACTTCCCTTCCTTTTCAAATGAAATTCTACATATTTCAACTATAATTTTATGTCTGTAATAGATTGTCACTGATCTCAACACCCATATAATCAATCAGTTCATCATTTGTTTAAATAACTTCCCCATGCCACAAAATAGGTAATCATAGTTATTATTAGTAGGGAAAAGTTGGGGGGGGAGTCCTAAATAGGATAGGTAGAGAAAAATGAAAGCTTTATATATTCCTTTTGAATGACTTTGAAGAAGAACACATAAAACACATACACATGTACATACGTATGATTTGTCTCCATACCTTTGGCACTATTAGCTTAATGAATTTGATTGGTATGATATGATTTAAGTCAACAATAGCTTTTGAAGATCCTTGATGAGACTTAGCTAAAAGAACACAAACACTGCATTCCCAGTGATTAACATAGAGGTCATCTAACAACAACTATAAGGAAATTCAGAAAGTAGAGTAGGCAGCAGAGACAAGTGTGAAAATACGTGATAATTTATAACAAAGGGAGACACACAAAGAGGCTCATACATCCCATTATCCCTGAATGTCAGATGCCTGCTATTTTAAAGAGCATTTTTTTTTAACTGAAAGACTTGATTTTGAAGTCAAAGGACAGACTTTATTTGTAGGGGTAACGGATGGGAAAAGAGATCGTGCTTACTTCAATTCAATATATGTCTACTTTATTCTCTAAATTCTTTGTTCTTCTACTGGAATAAAAAAACACTAATGACTTTTCTGTGGCAAAATTATGGACAAATACATTGTTAACCAAAGGAAGACACATCTAAACAGTGACAATGTCTTTTTAATAGATGATTCCCAAAACCCTTGTACTATGGGATATAAAATAGTTTGGATTGTTTAGGTTCAGCAGGACTAGGCCTATATTTTACCTCTACCTCATGATTTTCTTTAAAAGTTACATATTAACAGTGACAATTGAGGTATATTATTTTCAGTAATTTCTCAAGATGCATTTTATTTCTTTACAAATTCATGATGGTATTTACTTGTAAAATATCATCCAGGAGTTTTGTATGGTTTTCTTGACTATATTTAATCCCGTCCGTAGTTCTAGACCTTACCTAAAATATAAAGGACATAAAATAACCCATTTGACTTGAAAGGCCAAAGACAAATATAATTTCCAATGACCTTTTCCTTTCTATGGAAATGTTCAGGATCTAATACCAAACACACCGGGATGCAGAAATACCATATAGAGCTTCGGTGAATGGTCAATAGAAGCAGGCTTAAACTTAATAGGTGAGATTCAAAATAAGGTGAATGTAACTGAAAATTAAAATCAAAACAAAGGTAAATCTCTGGGAGAAGACTTTCATCTTCAAGTATTCTAAATCAGAGGTGAGGATAAAGCAATAATGACCTGCTTCCAAAAGATCTATTCGTTTTGGATTATAAAAAGTGTATGAGAAGAATTTCAACTTTTTTTTTAAAAGCACAAAATTCAATTGTAGCCATCTGTTGAGTACATAGGTTAGATTTATGAAAACAGAGCTTCTTAGTGAATAGTTAAAAGACAATTTAGTCTCATGCTTCTTTTCCTCTAATAAAAGAAAGATGGGATTTTCCTTTTCTTTTCCCTTCAATTAATTTTGTGTGGGTTCAGTCTGTTGATACATTTACTGAAAATGTCACCAACAACATATATGTCTCTATCGAAGTCATTTTCAAGCAATGAAACTGCATGTAAAATTTGGTTTTATTTTCCTTTAAATTGCTAAAGGATTAAGCATTTTGACAGGAGGAAGCCCCACCCCCACCCCCACCTGTAGTAATGCTGCCATAATCAATTGTTAGGTGCAAGCTCTAACTGGAGTGGCCACTTTGGTATAAGGTATTAAACGTAGGGGATACTTCAAACAACGCTCCAGGGGTGAAGAATGAAAAGGAAAATCTGATCATTAACACTTGGAATGTAACTTCCTCTATTTTGATTAAATCCCAGATAATTTCATTTTCCCACCTGTGGAGACTCCTCCAAAATTCACATGTCAAAATCTAATTTCTAATGGTGTTTGGAGGTAGAGCCTTTAGGAAGTGATTAGGTCATGTGGGGAGCACCCTCATAAATGGGAGTAGTGCCCTTATAAAAGAAGCACCAGAGAATTCCCTTGTTTCCTTCTGCTGTGGGAGGACACAGTGAGAAGATGGCCATTTGTGAACCAGGAAGGAAGCCCTAATTAGACACCGAATCTGCTCAATCTCCCCAATTGTGAGAAATAAATTTTTGTTGTTCATAAGCTACCCAGTCTATAGAATTTTGTTGTAATAGCCCAAATGCACTAAGACACCATCTAACTAACATTTGGTCACACATTA